AAAAACAGTGTGGATGGCATCCTCTGCAACTTTGTTCCTCCATCTCACCAACCATCATCATCCAAACAACCACAAAAGAATTAGTTTTTTTATGATACTATTTGATAAATATTTTCTAAAGCAGGTTAAATTATAACTTCTACGGATAACTGTAATATTATTTTATGACCACTAAAACAATTTCTCGGATTACTATAATATTAATAACCTAGACTTCATGATGTTGTTAACAATCACATACTTAATTTTAATAAATATGATGTTATGCTATAATTGTACTGATTTTGTTTACCTCAATGAAATGTTTGAGATTCTTTTTTGCCATACGTTGTTTCTTTCCTCCATGATGGAGTGTCCAAATAAGTGAAGACCATTGGATTTATGTAACAAAATTTTAAATATGTACTGTGGTCACCCAGGTTACCACAACTGGCTCCTATAGTTAATGTTTCTGTACAAAACCAAATTTTACTCGTGTAATTGTTTACTAGCCAGTTGTAATCGATTACAAGTATTTTTTTTCTGCACAAGTTTGAGGACTTCATCTAAGTTGGTCATCTCAAAAACATTGTTCCTTTCCTCCATCATGGGGTGCCCAAACATGACTTCCCACACTCAACTCACACTTAAACACCAAAATCAAGTTAAAATCGTTGGACTTATATAAAAAAGTTATAAATTTTGACCATGGTCACCCAGGTTACTACAACTGGCTCATGCAGTTGCAATTTTTGTACAAAACCCAGATTTTAATCGTGTAATTGTTTACCAGTCGGTCGTAATCATTTACCAATGTGTTTTTTGCTGCACAAGTTTGAGGACTTCACCTAAGTTGGTAGTATCACTAACATTGCTTCTTTCCTCCCTCATGGGGTGCCTAAACATGACTTTCCAACCTCTACTCACACTTAAACACCTAAATCAAGTGAAAAGCATTGGACTTATGTAACAAAGTTATGAATTTTGACCATGGTCGCCCAGCTTACCACAGCTAGTTCCTGCAGTTGGAGTTTCTGTACAAAATCCAAATTTTACTTTGTAATCGTTTATCATGTAGTTGTAATCATTTACTAGTGTGCTTTTTGCTGCACAAGTTTGAGGACTTCACCTAAGTTGGTAGTATCACAAACATTAACTCTTTCCTCTATCATAGGATGCCTAAACATGACTTCCCAGCCTATACTCACACTTAAACACCTAAATCAAGTGAAAAACATTGAACTTATGTAAGAAAGTTACGAATTTTGACCATAATCAGCCAGGTTACCACAACTGGTTCCTGCAGTTGGAGTTTTTGTACGAAACCCAAATTTTACTTGTGTAATCGTTTATCAAGTAGTTGTAATCGTTTACCGGTGTGCTTTTTGCTGCACAAGTTTGAGGACTTCACTTAAGTTGGTAGTATCACAAACATTGCTTCTTTCCTCCATCATAGGATGCCCAAACATGATTGTTCAACCTCTACTCACACTTAAACACCAAAATCAAGTGAAAAACATTGGACTTAAGTAAGAAAGTTACAAATTTTGACCATGGTCACCCAGGTTACCACACTTGGTTCTTGTAGTTGGAGTTTCTGTACAAAACCCTGATTTTACTCATGTAATTGTTTACTAGGCAGTTGTAATCGGTTACTAGTGTCACAAAGATTGTTTCTTTCATCCATCACAAAGATGACTACTCAATCAAATTGGCCAATTTCTTTATTAACATTCCAAACAAAACTTCATTTCACAACGACAATAAAGAAGGGAATATCAATTCAATTAACATTAACAATAATTAACGGAAGTAAAGATGCATCTTTTATAACATTGAACAAAATTGGTTACAATACACTTATTTCTTCATCTATGTACAATGTTGTATGACTTTCTATAACAAATCAATAGAAATATCACTCATTTTTTATTCTAAGCACTTTATTTTCAGTGAACGGTGTCCTAAGCGCTCTACTCTTGTTCCTTTACCTATGTATTTGATACATGTACTACTTCTCATTTCCTCCTTTAAGTTAATATTTTCACCATCTGAACTCAACCCTAATCCTAAACAAAAATCTTTTTCATTCACATTCACAACTTTATCTACAATTAAAAAACCACTATTGGAATCGACCCATCTAACCAATAACTCAATCAAAATATTCCTACCTAGTTTAACATTACCACTCAAATCTAAAAACCACCCAAATGGAGTCTTCGAAATGAGTGACTAGTGCTCGTCTGTCAAACGTTCGTTCAAAGTACAAATATACTTTGTTGAAAAAGAGTGACAAACAGTCAAGTGCATCAACGAAAATAAAATAAGCAAAAGGGAAAATCTCAAAAATGAAAACAACACAAATTTAAACACAACAGGGAAATCTCAAAGCAAAACTGAAAACGCAATGAAGAAAATGGAAGGAGAACACATTTACCTTGCTCGAAGGACCATGGTCATTGGACCTTGCCATTTCGTAGAATACCCTCAACAAAGAAGACGACGTTGAGCAAAACGAAGAGATGGAATGAAAACGAAGACGGAGAACGAAAACGAAGAGGGAGAACGAAAACGAAAAGGGAGAACGAAAACGAGATCAATTTCGATGTCACATTTTAACAATAAAAGCAAATTAAAAACGGACCAATGGGCTGGTGACACCTGGCGTTGTCAAAATGGTGTTAAAAACTCGTTGTCAAAATAATGGGATCCATATATATAATTGTATTAAGATGTAACGTGAAAAAGTGGAAAGGGGGAGTTCAGGACGTGAGTTGATCGTGAAATAAGGGGGGCAAATTGGTAGGGGTGGTGACGTGGGGTTCACCTGCAAAAAAAAAGATAGTGATGATTATAGTATACATGATTAAAGAGATAAATGGTGAGAGTTAGGTGAACTCATTTGTATTTATGGAAATGGTTTAATTGGTATGATAATGATATTTATTGTGTTTTATCATTGAGTAAGTTTCGGTTAATATCTCTTTAATCCGGTTGAAATTTTTCCTCTTGCGAGAGGGTGGAAAAATGGATCTCTTCGCCTTTGAGAGGCGGTGGAAGAGATGGGTCTCTTATCCACGATGAGCTATGGAAGGGACTGTGTGTTAAGACTCCGACAAGTATACCGAATTGTATCAAGTAATATAAATTGTAAGACCAAGTATCGTTTTCCCAAGAAACACACTGGCCTAAACAATCATGTGATTTGTTGATTATTTAAGACTTGAGAACAAAAATTTAGGTTTTGCAATGCAGAAAATAAACATGAATGCAAATGTTTGATCAATTGACTAAAGAATGCATAGGTGAATGGTTGATAAAATATGAGATGACTATGTTGTTCGGGTTTCCAACTTATCATATCCACTCTCATGTATTTACGAATTCATCTTCTTCAATAATGTTAATGTCACTTTCTAATTTACTTTAAGCTCGATGTCTCGGTGAAGAAAGCCTACTCTTAATTACTAGTTCACAATGTCTTGTATCCCTAACAACTAATTATGCATTACATTCGCACAGAAGCTTAAAGGCAATCAACCCTCCTATTCCTATGTCTAGATAATATTGCTTTTCGGAGAATTTCCCTAGTTCTAGATTTCTCCATATGTGTCCATATCGACAAAATCAATAATCCACTAGTACAAAAACAACGTATAACGTCGAATATTTTTTGTCTTTCACGTCGAATTCGTGAACGACGTCATATCAGGAGACGTTAAATTGACGTCAAATTTTTTCAATATACGATGTTAATTTAACGTCGAATTTTATCAATATACGACGTTAATCAATTTTTTTATTATTTTAAAGAAAATTATTTATTTCATCCATTATTTATTAAAGACATTGTGAGTGACAAAAATAGAAACAAACTTGAGGGTTTTTTTAATGAAACAAAACATCCAGTTACATTTAAATAAATTAATTGACACATTAATTTTAAAAAAGGAAAAAGTGAATTTTTAAATTTAAGAAAATAAAAATAAGAACAACCGATGATAAAATTAGTCTTTCTATAAATAGAAATTACTTTATGATGAACAATTTATAAGAATTATTTTCTATTAACTTCTTTATCATTATATTTCCCAACTAACCTATAGAAGTATTATACTATTTTTCTTTTATTTTTATATGATAAAGTGTTGTAAAAGAATGCTCCCCAAATATACCATAAAAGAAATAATTGAACTAGGTGTGTTACAAAGATAAAAACAATAATAGTTTTAGTACAAAACAATTTGCTTTAGTACTTAATAGTAAATGATATTAGTTTCATAATAATTACTCTAAAATCATGTTACTGACTGTGTAACTTTTTAGTATTTTATTAGTTTCATAATAATTACTCTAAAATCATGTTACTTGACTTGACTGTGTAACTTTTATACCGGTCTACCAAAATCTTTGAGCAAATTAGCATATTAAATCTATAATAGGTAAATTAATAACAATTTAATTTTTTAAGATAAATTTATATTTAATTATTAAATTAATAAAGAAGAAATAGTTACATTCTATTGTATAGTTTACTAATAAATTAATATTTAAATGTAGCTTTAATTAAAAAAAAACTCTGAAAGTGTAATTTAATATCAAATTAATCTATAAGCATTAAAACTTTGCAGTATGTAATACATGCTAAATTACACACTCATAAACTAAATAATAATTTTAATTTCAAATTAAATTACGACTGAATTACACTATCAACTTAGAATGATCGTTTGTCATAAGTTCTAACTGTAATCAAACAAGAAAATGTTACACCTTTTAAAATAATGTGAGTGTGCTGTGCTGACTACATGTACTTTTAGATTATGAAATTGCAATGCAATTATTTAATCATTTCCGGGGAAAAATATCACAGTGAAAACGATTAGCTTCAACCATGGGTCAAATTATAATTATAAAAATCGCAAGAACTAAATTATAAAAAAGACAAAAAGGAATTCTGAAAGTTAAGATCTACAAGTGGTGGGACCCACTTGCATTCAATATATACTCACTGAAGTCACAGCTCGCCGCCAACCCTCTGCTTTTGTTCTGTTTCCCTGTTTCCACGTAACTGAACTGAGTCATGGCGATTTCGCTCAAAGGAGAATTTCTCCGCCGCAGCTCCGTCGCTGGGACAAGGTTCATGTCAACTTCGTGGTTTCGGAGTATCGAGCCCGCTCCCAAGGATCCAATCCTCGGAGTAACTGAAGCTTTCCTCGCCGATCAGAGTCCAAACAAAGTCAACGTCGGAGTGGTGAGTTCTGTCTCCGTTTGCGACTAATATTCTCGCATTTTTTTTTCTTTTTGAGAAATTGAAGAGAAATTACGTCTGTTGAAGGTGAAATTGATTTGAACAAATCGGATCTGATCACCTAAACGGCATAGAACTGTTATATTCATCACAGAAAGTGGAAAATGTTTATTCTTCTCTCCTTTTTATTGTATTGTTTGTTTCTTTCATTGGGTTCGGAGCATTGATTCACGCAATTTGTAGGCAGTGTAAAGAAATTTTCAATGGATTATTTTAAAATATATTTAGTGCATGTTTAGTTGAAGTGTTTCTGATATTGATGGATTCTTATTGAGTGTAATTTATTTATTTATTTTTTATTTACAAAAGGGTGCGTATCGCGACGACGACGGAAAGGCTGTGGTTTTGGAGTGCGTTAGAGAAGCAGAGAGGAGAATTGCAGGAAACCAATTCATGTGAGTAAAATAATAATAATAATA